CAAAAAAAAAAAAAAAAAAGTCATACACATTTTGTTAGGATTACAATTAATGTTTATATGAAGTTGGCTAGAAACTACTATGGCATTATTATACTGCAAAATTTGGTAATCATTTAATACTCCTTCCCCCAAAATTTTAAAGATAAAAGTTATTTTTCCAAGATCTACAGTCATGCAGCCTAGTAAACTGTAAAACACTTTTTAACACTCCACTAAGCATGGAAAATAATTTAGTTCCATTTTTACAGTCTTATATGGGTAACCTTCCTGCATGCTTCTGTGTAGAATTAAATAGTGCCACCACGGATCTTCTCCAATTTATGCCTTTATGCTTTCTGTATTTTAGTCTAACCCACCCCCGTTTTAGCAGTCATTGACCTTCAGGTACAACAAGTAAATAAGAAGACTCTAAACAAAAGAAATAGCTAAGCTTTCCTTATCTCACACTGACACAGCAGTGTCAACAATTCAAGTCTCTCAGAAAAATAATGAGTGAGCGCTAGTCATTCCAATTACCTAGGAAACCAGCAATGGAGATGGTTTATAAACAGCATTTGGACATGGATTGTCTGGCATACATGGAAATTAGAACAAAATTAATGCCTTGTAATCTGGATACAGAAATTCATTTAGGATTTGAATTTAATGACTAAGAAAAACAAAAATTTTGATTAACTAAGCTATTGAAACCCAAGGGAAAAAAGTCTGGTCCCAAACACCTAAGGCCAATCTTCTCTTTGAGAAGCTGGAGAATTTAAAATAAGCCCGAGTTTGCTTGTGTTTTATATCCTTTCCAGATAAAAATTTAATTCCGGGCCCTATTCTTTGGTTGTTTTTTGTTTTGGATTTTTGGGGGGAACGAACTCAGGACTCTGAGCTTGTGAAGCAGGCAGTGGAAGCACTGAGCTAAATCCCTGGCCCCTCCAGGCCATATTCTGATTCATAGGTAGAAAAATCTAACTTTAATGTCAGTGATAGCAGGATACTGAACGATTCTTAAGAAACAAACTCACAAAGCATATTGACTTGTAACAGAAACTGGGTTATTTGATACCGATAATAAAAAAGGCATCTCCTAGAGGTTCTATGATTTTGATTTTAAGGAGCCTCTACACTCCATAACCATCTTTTCATCCATAACCATCTTTTCATAACTTTTCAGGGGACAGTTATGAAATATGAACCACTGTTTTGACAGAGTATCTATGCGGTGTCTTCTTGCCCTGGTCCGAAGGACAGGGCTATATTTAGGTTCTTGGCACATATGTATTCACTAGTTTGTAAGCTTTCTTAGATCAGTCCTTTCTGGGTTCTCTAAAAACACAGTAATTTCACATAGAAGACTCAATAAAAATATGTTCAGTAACTGAGAAGGAATGAAAAATAATGATGAAGAGCTGCCCCTTCAACACTTTTAATAGTTATTTACTAATTCTGACAGAGGGCTTTTCTGATACTGAGATTTTTCAGCTCCTTATCGTTCTTTCTTTGTTTTCATGATAACATATATTTGCAAATGCTTTCTGGTTTCACCGCGGTTTTGCTGTTAATTCCCCTCCTTTGAGCCCACTAAAGTAAGGCCTTCAAACAAAAGATTCTTAGATATGAAGAGGGGAAATGTACATGCATTTGTAACATTTCTGAGATTTTACCTATATTTTATAAGGGGAACTTATTTGAGGCCAGAGAAAGGTACTTTTAATTCCCTCTTCAGAACATGAGTGCAAAAACCTTAAGGTGGTCCGGTACAAATGATTTGAATCAGAGTTAGATTACTTTTACTATAATCCCAGCTTTATATACAGATAGAAACTCAAGAATCTATGTTCAGGTCACTGGTATTTCTGGCTTTTCACATCTAACCCTTGCTGCTAAAGAACTTCCTTGAGCTGAATCAAGGTGACACAAACCTAAACTGATTGGCCCTGTCCAGTGGTTATCCCTTTTATCCTCCATTCATCTCCTCTAAAGGGAGTTCCTTTCAGTGCTTTCAAAGCCCAAAAGGCTGGAAGTCATCTTTGGCCCTGTGGCATTTTTTTAAAGTGCCTTTTAACTATAATACAGTGGAGCAGCCTCATTACCATCCAAGGAAGTTCTGCAGGTGAAAGCTCAAACTGGCATATCTTGCAGAGCCATGCAGAGCCTAGGAGCCTGCTGTCATTGTGTCTCATGGTGCCTGTTGTTCATTATTTGTGTATCCACTTGCACCTCTCTCCTAGGTTTTCATTTTATGAAGAAACTCCTCTGGCTCAGTTCTCCCTGCACAGCCTGCTTGTTCCAATGGAACGTAAGTTACTTCCAGCAGAGAGGATGCCTGGATCTTGGCTTCCAACTTGACGGAGTTTACACTTTCCAGGACCTAGTCATGCTGCCCTTCCTTAGCTTTTGAATTAGAAATGTGCTATTTATGTCCACAGAGATTTTCTTCTTTTCCTTTCAACTCAAAATGCTTCCATTTGCAAAAGCAAAACAAAACAAAAACACAGATCCTTATCTTGCAACAGTGCTCAGTTTTTAGATAAGGCATTCAAACTGGTCTATCTTCTTACACTCAGGCTTATTTTTTAAATTAATTTTATGGGTACATGTAAGGTACACAATATAATGACATCCATCACTGGATATCTGCATCTTTACATAATCCATCTTGGTTCTTATTTTTTCCCCATTCCCCTGCCCTCCCTTCAGCCCCTCCACCCCTCCCTATCTACAAAGACTTTGTTTCCATTTTTTCTTCTCATATTAATTCCATTCCCTTCTTCTTTTCCCCTTTTAACTTTAATGTTAACATCTTCAAAGAGCTTTCTGATGTTTTCTAGAAAGATTCAGTATGTGTCTTTTGAATGATGCTTCAATCAATGAGTGGGCCTTCCCAATGCTACTCAAACTATTTAGCAGCTGCAAATGCATCTTGTGTTTTATATCCAAATTCTTCTTTATCTCAAAAACTACCAAACTTGAGAAACAGACATGAAACCACCTATAAGAAAATATGAGCTTTTTCTTATTAGCAATGCATATATGAGTTATATGCATTAATTATATGACATATACAGATTATTCTTATATACTAATAATACTATTAAACTATAACTTTTTCTTATCAACTGACATTCACAGTTTATTCACATTGTCCTCTATCCAAGCATCTCTTTAAAAGATTACAGGAGATAATCAAGTAATTGTTGCTCATTTGAAGCAATCTATACAAGTATACTATTTCCACTTAAACATAAAATTTTTATTAAATAGTGACTGTTGTGGGAAAAATGTAGCCTTATTATTCGTAATTGTCCAAGGTAGTGAATAAGTGCACAATTTAGAATAGCAGAAAATATGAAAGAAAACTGTTCATTTTGGCTTCCTAATTGCATTTTTATGAAATGAACCTAAACATGAAAGGCATTTTATTAATTACAACTCTTTGTATTGTAATTTAAAATACTTTCCTCTGACAAACTGAAGAGACAAAAGCAAATGAAAGAATAACAAAATTCTTGCAGTGTATCATTAAAAACAAGCTAAAACCAGCTGGGTGTGGTGGCACACGCCTGTAATCCCAGCACTCAGGAGACAGGCAGGAAAATCACTGAGTTTGAGGCCAGCCTGGGCTACATAATGAGTTCCAGGTCAGTCTCAACTACATAGTGAGACCCTGTCTCAAAAAAGCAAACAAACAAACAAACAAAAAGAAAACACCAAGCTAAAATCCACTCAAATAACTAAAAGATGATATTTGAATTTGTCATTGCACCAAGGATCAATAGTACAGAATCTAAAGTATAAACTACAGTTGCAAACCTAGTTTACAATGAAAAATGTTTCAAACAACATAAAACTTAATTGGAGCAATATGGTTGTCCATTTCTGTACAATGCCAAGTCAACACAGTAAATTGGGATGACTTTTTCCAAAGTTGGCAGCACCGATAAAGTTTCCCAAAATTCAATTTATATATGTGTGTGTGTGGGGGGGATATATATATAAAGACTAATAATAGTATGTTATGCATCAATAGCAGCAACAGCTTTTCCAGGTTCTGCAGTCATCTGAACAAAATTATAGACATTCAGCACATTACATTAAAAAAAAAAAAAAGAAAGAAAAGAATAATATCCAGAAAACAGCAAAGTTCTGTTGCTTTTCTGGTACCTGGCACCATTTTTTCTATTAGCCTCTTAATCATCATCTGGAAAGAGAACATTCTAGAGTAATATTATTAAATGGTCTAGAAATGTTAATTTATTTTTATTTTTTATTTTGTTTCCACGTGTACAGGGGTAACACATCGTACTAAATATGTAAGGTCATATCTACGTGGGTTTGATTACAGAAACTAATAAAGTATTCTCTAAATAGTGACAAAAAGAATAAGATAAGACTATAAGAGCGAGAAGCAATTTAAATATGTTCAGGGACCATTTTCATCTCCAGAATTAAGGATTATTTTAATGTTACATCATTGCCTTTTCTCTTTTACTTTCCTTTTTAGTTTTATTTTAGGATTCCCTATTTTTAATGTTCATACAGAGATTTCTTTAA